CTCCTCCCAAGTATATCATAACTTTCATGTCATATATCTGAGTTCCATCCAAGCAGGCTACCTTTCTTCCCACTCTGTAAGTAGAAGGAGATCAACTGGTTATACTGTAATGTTGGGATTTTTCAAGAATCTCCCTGAGAGAGAGGAGCAAGGGCGAAGTTAAGTTAGACGTGTGTATTCATTTTGGTCAATTTAAGGATGTCCTTAATTATGCCTGTGGTTTTTTCTGTTAGACACTGATGTGGCTTAATTCAAAGTAGAGATTATTCATGTAAAGGTTATGGCTACATGGCTTGTGCTGTCCAGACCACATTTAATAGGATGAGTGGTCTTCCTGCATGGTGGGCAGTTTTGTTTGTGTAATTATTTGGATATCTGTTGTGAGCGGAGTGTCCAGAAAGATCCCCAAACTCCTGACAAGTATAAGGAATTAGAGTAAATGTACTGAAGAATGAAGCAGGTGCCTTCAGTATCTTAAAATGTTTTTTTTTTTCTTTTAGCAAGTAGCATCCCCTTGGACATACTTACATTCCAGGTTATGCTGCTGGCCTCTATCCAAGCACGGAGCTCAGCTAGACAGTGAGAAAGCTAAAATATGGTGGCGATGAAAATGAATAGAGAGTTTTGGTCTCGCCAGTGATATTGGCTGAGAGCCAGTTTTAGGTCATTATTAATTTAGATGGGTTTTGGCAGGAATAGGTGAAGGAACAGTTGCTTAATGTCCATGTTTTTTCCTAGTTCTGTCAAATTCAGTATGTCTGTCTTTAAATGATACTGGTGATAACGTATATGCACAGCCTGGGAGCTGTTTGGTCATTCAGGAAGTTCATGCAGTATTTTTTTGATGTATAGTTAAAAACAAACAGACAAACCCCCAAAAGATCAAGAGTGACTTTAACAGGAATCAGTAGACATGCTTCAAAATTGTTCAGAGGCTATATCCTTGTTATATAGAGTAAATGTGACATTTCCACCACAGGTAGACAGAGACACCTTAACACAGACATTTAGAGATGCTACTAGAGATGACCTGTGCTATTTGAGACATCCCCATGGGGCTGTCAGATATGATGCAGAATGTATAGGATATCCAGGCCCATCTGCAGTGGTAGCTGGAGGCCAGGCAGCCTGTGCTGGGCAAGGAATTGGCTGTTCATTTGATAGGAAAGTATCTAGTTTTTCATGGTGAAATGAGCTGTGTGGAATATTTAGTTGTGTTACCATTACCATATTTCTTGACAATTCGTCATTTAGACCTGTCTTCCCTGGACTCATAAGGCAGTAGGGTATTTCTTCATAAATACCTAATAAAGTTATTAGCTGTAGGTGTTCAAAGTACAATGTTAATAGGTTAAAGTTGATACTCCTTGTGAAATATGTCTAACACTTTGCAGTCTAATTTGGATTTTGATGTGGAGGAGGTCAGTCCTGGAGCTGGGGTAGGGACTGTGTCCCTATTACTGGTGGCATCTCTATTCCCCGAAGGTTAGGAGTGAGCAGCATCACCAGATTAGTGCTGCTTATTTGCACGGCTGAGTCAGGTGCTGTCACTGTGACATGTTTTTCCTATTACTTTTGAAATATTTTGTGTCATTCAGCCTTATGTTGTCAATAATTTCTGTGACTAAAGAGGCCTCGTCCTCGTGTCAGGTTGCCCCCAACTATGACAACTGCAGAGTCTACACAGCTGTGTGCTGTAATGAGGCAAGAAAATTGGAGAAAAGTAAACAATTGTTACAGTAGGTAGGTATGTGAAGATTTTTTTTGAGCAGCATAGGCAACTGGCATTTCAATCACTTTGCATAAGACATTTTGTGGCTGTCAGCCCCCAGATGAAGAGGAGCTGTAATGTGGTATGATAGGATGTCATACCCTAAGGACAGAAAGAACCTGAACATATACAGAAATGTCCCTATGGATAAAGGAGGGATCAAATTATAAGAGCAAATTGCTTGTGTACACTGGCAGTTAAAAACTGCACATTTCTTTTCCTACAGCCTTTTGTGCTTGAGTCCATAAGTGCAATGGAATTAAGAGTTTTATTCTGAAAAGATAACATTTTTGCGTGCATTTCAGTTCACACAAAAGCTAGGGGCTGAAAGCAGTAATTTGGGGCGTGCACAGTTCACACAACACTGAACTTCTAGTTTCTCATGCTGTTCCAGTTATCTCTGTTTTACTACTAATGCATTTCAATTCTGCTTAGCAATAGCACTGCATTTTTCAATTTTTTTCTATGATTTTAATATAAAACTGAAATTGTGCCAAGCAGCATCATAGCTCTGGTCTATGGGAAGATAGGATTGAAGCCACCATGTTCCACATCACCTTAATTGGAACATAAGCCATCTCCAAAAGCATATTTAATGATATGCTGGTTGCTGAGTCAGGTGCTATCACTGTGACATGTTTTTCCTATTACTTTTGAAATATTTTGTGTCATTCAGCTGGTTGCATAAACTTGCTTCCCAAAAGAAATCTAATTAGAATTTAGTAATCAGATATCCTAACAACTACAATTTAAAAATTCTCCTGAATAACTTACATGCACAGGAGTTAAAATATAGCAGCTTGTCCTGTGCAAGACAGGTCCATCACCAGCATGCGGCGAGGTGGGCTGGCAAGGGAATTCTGAGCCTATCCTAGGGGTTACATGGACTTGCTTTCGTCAGAAGCATGGCCAGTTGTTTTTTCTTTGCTGGGAAAACATGAGAGGAGTGGGAACAGAAACTACTAGTAAAAGGAAGGTTTAAAAGCATATGGGGAGACAGTTCAAGATGCTTGTAGCTTCTCGTAGGTTGCAAAGACACAATTTTAAAGCTACCAGTCTGATAACACCCCTTGAACGTGACCATCTGCAATGCCAGAGTGCGTGCCTGAGCAAAATAACTAGTCTGGTGAATGCTTACGCAGCTGGTGAAGGGTACAAATGTGTAGGGTAACATAGGAACCCGTATACTGGCTCTTCGCTCCCCTGGACAGAAGCATGCTCCAGAATCTGAGCAGCCTGCCCTTACTAAAGCTTCAGAGGAAGACAAAGATGCCCCAGGGCATGCACTGATACCACTTATCGTATTTTTATTACTTGTTTACTACAAATAAAAATATTGTAGCAGCTGAAATGTTTCAGCATTACAGATTTCATTATTTTCAGAGCTGAAGTGCAGTGTGTCTGATCCTAATTGCACAATTTAAATACTAATAATCATTCAGCTGGGCGAGTCCTCTGTGTATTACAGATAATAATCCTTGTTTTAGCAAATATACGTAATGGGGTCCACATCAGTCATATGCGTAATACACTGAAGCTGAGACAAATGTAACAAAATGACCCCTGGGTAAAGAGATCTTTTTGTTTTGTTTCTGGAGGGGGAAAGTTTTCCTGAAACCCTGTTATTCCTGGGTGAGCTGATTATTTTTTACCTTCGTTATGTTCCTGTTTTCCACTGCACTGCAAAGCATGAATAAGCCTGTGGCCACTTTTCTCTGATGGTTTACCCCCCATATTTCTCTGTGTTAGGTGTTGTTGGTTTTTTTTATTTCTATGCTCACAAGTCTGAGCTTGCTTGCCAATGATTGAAATTCTGGACTGAGCAGTACCAATTAGACTAATTTATTTAAGTGGGTTAATTCTTCTGAAATACTTTGCTTTGTAGTTATATTTATCAGCAGTCTATCTTCCCTGTGCTATGCCTTCCAACTATTAAGCTGCCTACAAAGCAGAGATTTAAAGAGAAACAATCTATTTCCTTTGCAGTTATGAGATAATCCCCTCAAAAGGTGCCTTCTTTAATTACCTATATAACTTATTTAATATTGTAACAGTGGTTTGGTTGAAATACAAGAGCAAAAATACAAATAGCGTATGAATTACAAGGCCATAGTTCACCTCAGACTATTATCTGGGTGAGCTGCTCAGCCTACCTCATGCCATATCTGAGGAAAAATAAGGATAACTTGGGATTCTGTGCCAGCAGCTACCTTCCTCCCCCCTCCTCAGCGCTACCCTCAGAGCTTGGGCTCATGGGGTGCCCCAGCTTTCCTAGTACTGAAACCCTAAAATGGTGGAAAGAAATCTTAAGGGGTAAAAACTATGGTAGTTTTTAGTGAAAGTGGATCAGCCTTTGCCAAGGCTGTCAATATAAGGACATACAGAGTTAGAGCACAGGAACTGAGCGGGCAGCAGGGGATATGCATATGTTCGTGAAATGGTGGCGATGGTACAAACTAGCACCTCGCAGCCAACCTGACTGGAGATCTGGGCACAGCAGGGGAAGTACCCCCTTCCAGCTGTATGGTAATTGTACAGCAGCCATGTGCGGTGACTGGCAGGCTGTGTTTCCTTTGGATGTGATCGGTAACAGCTCCCGGAGTCCCACTCTGCTATTGTCTGCCTGCTGGTTTTTAGTATGTCACTTCGGCGGAGTCAGGGTGCTAAGCAGCCGTGTTGCTGACATGACTGAAACTGCTGCTGTATTGGTGCTACATTTGAGCAAGCACAAAAAAGAGAGAATACAAGCAGCTGATGTTTTCCTTTAAAAAAGCTTTTCTGTCTAAATTTAGAAAATTCCTTGCCAAGTCTCCCAGGGATCTTTCCAGAGACAGTAAAAGTGCTCATAAATAACCCTGCACCCTAGTAACGATGCACACCACAGCCTGGATTGCTGGGATTTCAGCATCCCCTGACCAGCTGGGTACTGTGCAGCTGTCAGCGCGCTGCAGCTTCCCCGTATTGTTGACTGCCTATAATTAAAGAAAATTTACCAGAAAAGATTTTTATTGTGTTTTTAGAATCATTGCTAACTCTTACCTAGTGCAACGTTTTTTCTTGTTTAGTTGCTATCAATAAAAGAGTGAGTCTGCAGCATAAGAAATCTGTGCCCGCAGCAGCTGTTTGCCAGCCCAAAGAGCATTGCTCTCTCACTAGGCTCTTGAGTCTAAACAGTGTCTAAAGTCCTCGGCCCCATAATGCTTCCTTTTTTTCCCCATTTTTGCTGCAGGTAGGGGAATTCAGAGCCCATGCTGCGGAGTGGACAGCCAATGTCACCGCGGAGTTCAAAGAAACTCGAAGGCGCCTGAGCGTGGAGATCTATGACAAGTTCCAGCGGGCTACCTCTATCAAAAGGAAGCTCTCCGCAGAACTCGCCGTCAATCATAATCAAGACCTGACTCCCTGCAAGAGAACCCTGTCAGTCAACCACCTCACCAGTGAGAAGGACATCTTGCCAGCTCTAACAAAGACGGACAGCATTTACATGAATGGTTTGACACCACACTGTGCAGCAGAAGAGATAGCCGTTATTGAAAACATTAAGTAGCCGTGACTTTGGATCCCAGTCCTTGAGAAGCTCTTGGCTTAGACTAGCCATATACCTTTTATTCTCCGCCCTGTTGATGATCAATGCTAATGGCATTTTATGTGTGTGCATGAGTTCCACAGAAACTACAGTCCAGAGTTACCATCGCATCTCTTCAAAGACACAAAGATGAATGGCACTTCTTTTATCGAAAGATGCTGGAACAAGCAACATCTTCTGCCTTTATCTGCCCAGACTGTTTTTCACGTCTCCTAATGTGCCATACGGCCTCAAGAATGAATCACACTTGTTTATGGTAACAATGTAGCTTTGAGGGATCAGTCCTTAAAATTTCAGGGTCTACCTTACTGAGCCTAGGAATGGACCATTTCTGGACTACAACACATTTGTAAATGGCAAGAAATTCTTATGCAGCCTTTTACCTAAGAAATTTTTGTCAGTGCCTTATCTTTTGAAGAACCAGAACCTCTACAGTTCCTGTATGGTTTTTTGTTCGTTTGTTTTTTTTGTTTTGCATGAGAAGTGTATTTCATTTGAGCTTTCATTCTTCTTGAAACTATGGTGTTTTAAAGGTGTCTGTCGTGAAGATACCAACCAGCATGAATGAATGCCAAAACTCAACAATCATCAAATGATGTTCTTAGCTCTAAATTTAAAGGCACTGCAGTTTCAGAAGTTGCAAACATGTCCCCCAGAAGCATTTTGTTTTACTCAGGTCCAGCTGATACTTGTTCGCACTGACTTGTAGAATTTGCAGACCCTCTTCGGGTCTTATTTTTTCAAGCAGTGTTCAGCAGTTGTTTTTTTCTCTGCGTCAGATGTACCAAAAAATCTGCAGTTTGTCTATCACTAAATTATTTGGTAGATGGCAAGAGCAAATAAAAATTACTATTTCGAGGAGAGGCAGGAGAGCCTTTTAAGTGCTGTATTCTAATAACCACATCCAGAAAACAATGCAGAAAAATACAGCGATTTTTAATAAGCATAAACCTTCTGCCAGATATTTGCTCTATGAAAAGGATTCTTAACTTCCTCTTTAAGTCAAGTCACACCAGGCGCCATATGATATTTTACCCAGGAATCCTGCTGGAGTGCTTTCCTGAATGTCACGCTGTACAGTGGCTGCCTCTGCCGGAGCTGTGACTAACGTGGGAATGCAACTGAAACTGGTATCACTGTGACTTTCTACATTTCAAACAGAGATGGCTCTGAATATAAGTGCAGGCATGAAGAAGAGCTGATAAATAGCACAATCTGAATACTGACGGTTGTTCAGACAGGATAGGCTGACGAGAAGCAGATCTAAACGTGACTATGGGGTTTCGTTATTGGTTTTAAGAAAACACGTTAACTTTAATTTTGTATCTTCTGTTTTGCTTATAGGTGTACATGAGATTCAGAAGAAATGCAGGATGGAATGGATAATTTTGCATTTTTTTCTTGTGTTAGTCTATTGTAACCTGGCTGTACATAAAATGACTAGAACAGGCCTTAAAGAATAACTTAGGCTCTGTGTAACTTAAAAAAGAATAGGACTTTGCTGATTGGGCATGATTCGAGTGGCAAATCTTACAGCATCTCTGACCATTAGATAACATGCAAGATATGAATGTTAATGTTTTTTGGATGCTTAGCTTGTTTTCTAATAAATATAAGTTAATATGTAAATTCAGTCAATTCAGTGTAAATATCAGTCAATTAACATTTACAGAGAGTACGCTTTTAAAGCTAAGGAAGTTCCATGACACAGCACCGAGCAATGCTCTTATAACAAAGACCCTTGTCTCCCCAGCACAGTGTTCTGAATGTCCACATGGCGAGGGTTCGTCTTGCCATGTATAAACTGTGAATTGTAATGAAAAATAAAGTTTTTAATTAAAACAAGCTTTTCTGAATCTCCTGCTTGCTACAACTGGAATGCTAAGAAATAATTTGTGAAACTGATTTTTGTGCTTTCATTGGTTACGGAGTATAGCAGTTTGCCAGTTGTTTTAATTTAAGCTGGTTTAGCAATAAAGGCTTGACTCACCCAGCACGGAAATTATTTTTTTTTCTTGGTATTAAAAGTAACGCTCTTTGGTTGCTGTACCTTAAGTTGTGGTTCTTGCTATTTTGTTTCAAAAACTTGGCAGGCTGGAGTTTCTTCTGTCGTGTGCTACAGAGGTGGTGGTAATTGCTCCGTCTTTGCGCTGAGGGAGGTGCGGAGGAGCAGCGGAGGAGCTCTGCCCTGCTGCCCTGCCGCTTCTCCCGTGCTGGTGGTAACCTTCTGCAGAAGTGTGCGAACAAGCAGCTCTAAGGGCAGTAGCCCTTTCACTCCAGAGCAGTCACTTCTGCAGTGAGTATTTTACCGAGGACTCTTTAATTAGGTCTTGGCCCAGGGAATGATAGCCCGCAACTGTGTGGTGGTAAGCGAAGAGGACTGTTCTCTTACATCGTTCCCATCTGATTTGTGTGGGATGTGTCTCAGTGCCTTTGGGATCTGATTTTCAGAAAAGGACTGGCAATGTTTAAGGTTTAGTGTCTTTGACACTCAGAGGTGTGATATCTTAGTTTAAACCCTTGGATCATTCTAACCAGTTTGTTTCGATTTACCAACCTATGGAAGTGAGTGTTTATGTAGTTTCTTTCATTTTAAAGAAACTTCTGGTCATCTCAGGATCTGCTGAAAAGAGTATGTTGTTTTGAGATCCTGTGACGATGTTTGAGGTATTAGTATGAATATTTGTTATATCCATTCAGCATTTATTTACCTTGATTTTGTATATGATCTCTGGAAAAGAACCCCTGTTAATTTATATATAAAAGATATGTTTTATTTTTTCACTTTTGTAACAGATCTAAATTATCCTACTTTATCAAAATAAATTAGACTAGATTTGCCTGTTTGGAAAAAAGCATTAACAAATAAAATCCTTTATTTGTAAGATTAATAACTGAAGAAGAAGAAAAGATGCAACAGTCCAGATGGTATAAGTAGGTAGAGTTATCATGATCCAAACGTGTCTAGTACCATTAATGTTATTGGAAAATCTTTTTCTCCCTCTCCACATACAGTGATAGATCACAAATGCTGTGGATGGCTAAGTGAATTTATAAAGCTTGATGAACTCTATAAAGGTTTTTCTTTTTATTCCTGTAAGAGCAGACTTTTGTATTAAAAACCTGTGTCTTTCTTGCCTCTGGAAATCTTGCATAGCTCACTTTTCCCTTCCAAATACGGAGCTACAAAAGCATGAATTAGGACTTAATAAAATTCCATTTGTAACCTCCTTCCTCTCACACACTCATGGAGAAATTTCCAGACCGTTAGGATACTTGCAACTTGAGCAAGTTTGTGAAAATGGTATTTCAGTTTGGTAGAGGGTTGTTTTCTCTTGTACTGCCAAACAAATACCATAAAAAAAGACATTGGCAAAACCTTTTGGATGAGAGACAAGTTCTAGCACATAAGAATCTGTACAGGCACATGTGCTACCTAACAAAATAATTTATTTCTCAGTGCTACAGGAAACATTACATTAACAGATTTCAGGTCATTTTTATTAGAGAAGTAGCTAGAGATAATCTGTATTGTGTGCTGTTGCCTATGACAATCCTGCCTTTTTTTGCATTCTCTGGCATACTGGTCAAGTGTCCAAAGTGTCTATGTTGGTCAAAGCCTTGATTTTTGCATAGCCCTGCATGAGTGGCAGGGAGACTCTGAGTCGCAGAGAATTTGTTCCATGCCCCGTTCCTGCTTGAGCACCAGGGGAAGAGCTTGCTTTGGCAGCCCCTTCATGTTTTGTAGCTCCAGGCTGCCTGTCCTTTTCCAATATTTAGGCAGCCTTGAGGTGCTACCGTCTGAGCTGCGAACAGCCTGGAAGGGTCAAACCCAGAAGCTTGCTGAATCTCATGAACATCCTCGCCATGCCTTCCTCTCTTCACCTCTTCCTGAAATTTTTTTTGATACAACAGGATGAAAGCTGGAGGGTAACATAGAAACCCTTGGAAGTGCTAAACCTCTAAAGGGACCACCCTTGAACTGGAATGGACCTTCCTTAGGTTACTAAGCAAACCTGTAAGACCAGGACAGCAGATGGCAGAAAATGTGGTCTGTATGTTTGTTTTCAGTTCTTGCTCCTCCAGCATTATTTCTACACCAGTGGTCTCTAAATAGGAATACAACACACCCCATGGAAGAAGAAATGGAAGGCTGCTCTACTTAGTCAACCCTACATGCTCATCGGAAGTATATATATATATATACACATATA